AATGCTTGTATACATAGCCGAACTGGAAACATGATTTTTCATACTTTATATCTTGTATTCCTTTTTGTAATTCGCCGAATTTATGAGCATTATACAGTGCGGCCAGGGCATTTTTTACCCTTTCGCGGAAAAGGTTTTCGTCACCGTCTACCGATTCCAAACATTCTTGTCGCTTATTACGGACCAAGCTGTCGATGATTTTCCCAACTGTACATTGCTCGCCCTCCAACATTGCTTCGGCCATCTTCTAGATCTGCAACATAGACAAACCGAAGTGACATAAGATTCTTTGAGTATTACTTCATAGCAAGGAGTTCTAACTCCATGTCATCTTGCAATGGCTGAAGTTGGATTGGGAAAACACGCAGTCAAATGAAACCTGTATTCTTTATTCTATAGATCTCCATTAGTTTGTACAGACTGAGATAACCTATACAAGTCTTCCTGGAGTCGTTTTACATACAAACATTACACCCAAACTACACATTATATACAACTACAACTTAACTACAACATGGTAAGGCTACATACTACATATTACACGCACACACACAACAAGTTGTGCTGAGAGGTCAGAGGTCTTCAAAGGAAATTCTAAATCTAATATTTACAATTTGTCATGACCTCTACTACCATGTTTGTAAGGGTTTGGAGGTGTCCACTGCAGGTTTCTATAACTAGCCATTCACGGATGTGTTTTTAAACGGTATTGGTGCGGATAATCTAATGTGCTGTGGGAGTGTGTAAGATAACTAGCCATTCACGGATGTGTTTTTAAACGGTATTGGTGCGGATAATCTAATGTGCTGTGGGAGTGTGTTAGATAACTAGCCATTCACGGTTGTGTTTTTAAACGGTATTGGTGCGGATAATCTAATGTGCTGTGGGAGTGTGTTAGATAACTAGCCATTCACGGTTGTGTTTTTAAACGGTATTGGTGCGGATAATCTAATGTGCTGTGGGAGTGTGTTATATGATTTAGTGCAGCGATACAGCTAGGAATGTTCGTTTGGCTGAGGCTATTTTTGGTTTGGGCAGTCTGAAGCCTACCCTTTGCGCTAGGCGTGTGTTGTGTTGGCGTGTGTCATTAACTTTCGAATTCTGTAATCGTTTGTATATTGATTCTGGCTTTTTGGTTGTGATCAATGCTAGGGCTGTACTTGGCATTTAGCACCAGTCTGGCTGCTTTGTTTTGAATGATTTGCAGTTTGTTTTGTTAAGCTGAGATTGCGAAAGGACGACATTATACACGAACAGTAGTCCAAGTGACTCAGGACTAGAGCTTGTGTTACTGTTTTTAAATTAGAACCAGTGCCCACACCTTGGAAATCGAAAAAGGGCGATATATGAAAGTACCTGTGTCGGAGAGAATTTGTAAATATTGCTCCTCAAATGCAGTGGAAGACGAAATTCATTTCATTTCTAACTGTCCATTTTATGACATCAGAAAACAATTATTTAGCACCATGTCCAAAGTGCTCCCTTACTTCCCCACCATTCCCTACCACAAAAAAAAAACAATTTTATTGCTAAAATCAAAGAACCCACATATTATAAAAGAAGTGGGTAAATTCGTCTTCCATTGCCTAAAAAGAAGAAGTCAAACCCAGTAAAACTAGTACCATGTATGTTGTAGAATATAGTATTATGCTAGACGTAGATATAGTCTCACATAACACTGTATTTTCTGTCTTATGTTGTTTGTAACTGT